ATTTGCGTGCTTAAACTTGAGCATACATGTAAGTGTAGGATCAGAAACATAGTTTGTGATTGTCTTAGAGCACACTTAGGCTTGCAAAATGTGGTTTATTAGTTAGGAGTAAATTGATAAAATGTGCAGTATATCTGTGTTCAATATTTACAGTACATTATGTTTTTCCTCATAGTCATATCAACCTCCCACTTTCAAATAAAGCCCTCCTCACTTGTGTAAGTGCCAGAAGGTAGCACAATAATTACTAACACTGAACCCAGCACAGTCCTGTAATTCAATCAAAATGGTTTGCTGTTGTTAGAAACAGCAAGAACATTGTTTCTGCAATTTATGAATCGGACAACTACAGTCCTGCTATTATGTCCAAGATTCTGTAATGCAGAAAATGATTATAATTTATAGCTAAATATAAAATAAATGAGTGATGTGTTTCTAATGCACAGAGATGTGCAAGCAATCAAATTGCTGTACAGAAATTTTTCAGGATATTAATATCTCATCCAACCCCAAATATTTTACACCGTTCAGAAGAGCTTTGTCTCTAATTTACTTACAATTTAAAGTGCTTTGGACTGTGTTGCTGCCCCAAGTATGATCTCATTGAGTACTTCAGTATCACAGGATACCATGATGAGGATCTCTGTATCAATGGCTGAGATAAATAGAATAAAATAAAATGTGAGAGAATACTAGGTCACCTATAGGAATCATCCCATTGCTGAAGCCAGCATTGTTTAGTTCTCCTTCCAAGAATATCTCAAGCAATGTATTTTTCATACTTCTCTTGGGATTCCACAAACTAGCAAGATTCACTGAGAGGAAGGCTTCCTGATGCTCATCTTAAATGTTCTGTTTATTAAAATGATCCCATTTTTCCTAGTGATAATGACTACAGTGACAAAGCTGTCAAAGCATCTCACTTCAGCTCCAAAGACATGGGTTTGAGCCTTGTTCCAGACACACACAAATTACCGTGTGTGTCCTGTGTGCACCTCAACCATAGTAACTCAGTGAGTCATTAGGTTTAGTTGGACTTCTGCCTTATTTACTACTTACAATAATTCTTTTCTTTCCTTGCATTGTCTGACCTCATCTGAAGGCTACTGAAATCCTTTGCCTCTGAATATAGTGATGTTTAGGGCTGGCAAACCTGAAGGAGCAGCAGGCCAAAATAAGGCAGCTGCGTGCAAAGGCAGGATATTTCCTGCCATCTAGACGCTGCCCCAAGCCACCTGCTGTTGTTCCAGCCCCTCCCTGCTCTGTGCCAAGGTCTACTGTCTTGGTTTTGTGTCCCCCTGCTGCAGCCACTGCCCACCAGCTCCATCCAGGGACAAATTCAGTGACCAGAGAAGCATGACTGAAGTCAAGGGCATGCAAGAGAGCAGGGAACATTGTGGCAGTGGTAAACAGAGCTGAAGAAAAACTATTCAGGGGATGGCGGACACTACCATGCTGCTCCCCACTGCTGCCTAATTGCTGCCAGTGTCCCTTCTCCACAGGCTAGATGTGGAGGCCATAGGTTGCTGACCCTTTACTTACATGCTTTAATAATGGCAAAGCATCATTCTGAGAGCTGGTCAGGACATCTTCCATGGAAACATTTCTATGAGAGGCTGCAGACCTCAGAGGTTAAAGTTCTTGGTTAAATCATGCTGATTGCAAAGTGTTTCTTTGGTGAAAATCAGGAAGAAAAAGTTGACAACACCAAAATATTCCTTTGTGACCTTTTTTTAAAAGAAACATTTCATTTTTCATTTGCAATTACTTTTCATTCATGTTTTTATTTGATATTATATTATATGTTATAATGTAATGTTCACTGAAAAGTAAAATGAAATATTTCAATGTTGTCAAAATAAAATATTTTGATCAATAATTCCCGTCCCCCCTCTGAATTTTCTGTTGTAGAAAATTTTCAAAGGGTCAGGTTTCATTCTTGACTGTCACCCCATCTAGATATATGCTAAGAGAGCTCTTCTGGTTTCTCCTACTCCTGGGGCCACAGGGAATATTGTGCCACTTTCAGCAAAACACAAAGTAGTGTCAGGGCTACTGTATAACACTCTGGTTGCAGTGATCCCATAAAAATGGCTGCATTGGCCAAGAACTAGGTGCAGCATTGTGTGCTCTGGACCCAACCTCTGACTCTTCTCATTATGTCTATCTCTTCCCTCAATGTGCCCCAGAAGCAGAAGGGAGAGTGAGTACATGGAGTGTAGGCCTGTTAAGAATTTAGGCCACATAATTTTTTTCGTGTTGGAAGAAGTAGATGGACCCATAACTCAGTTTTCACTAGCTGAGTGCCTCCAAGTGCCTGATCTGCAACTTGAGGATTGAGCTCTATGGCCACGTCCACGTGAGCATGAGGGTTTGTTCCCTGCAGGGGCGCACCTTGTACCGTTGCTAGTTGTTCCCAGGGAATGCCTGTGCCACGTGTCTGCTGGTGCATGGCAAGTTACCCTGGGGGGAGCGGGGGGTGGATAGGGGAGGCCGGGACCACCAGTGGGCTGGCCCCAGCAGCCTTATCTAGGGTTCTGGGGGACTCCTGGGGCAGCAGCAATCTTGCTACGCAGAGCCTGGTCGGCAGCTGGAGCATGACTTCGTCTGGCCAGACTCTGTTTTTGAGCGGTATGTGCCACTCCACTTGTTTTTGTGCAGGTTTTTTGACCCCTGGATATCCAGAGGTCAAAACTCCCCCCATGCTGCTCCCTTGCAGCATGGAGAACAATTGAATGTGCAGTTTGTGGTGCTGCAGATGTGTCTGTGGTGCCACATACCGCATAGCTGCACTTGTTTGGACGTGGCCTATTTGTGCTTTTCCATATTCAGTGAACAAACTTGAAAGATGTAAGTCACTATTCAACAAGTCAGTGCTGGACTAAGTGAGAAAATGAAGCAATTCTCCTACTCAGATCAACTTGTTGGTTTAATTACTTACAGCTCACTGGACATTTTATTGGAAAAAGCTCTCTCAGTCTTTCTTTTCTGTATGGCACCAGTCATTAGGCACAAAAGAAAGACTTAGTCTGGCAAGTTTTTCCTCTAAAGCACTCATGTCCTCTATTTGTGAAACCTATATGCAATACTGACCATCTTAAAATCCCATTGCTATACTGACCATCTTAAAATCTTCAATGTATGTATTGTTACTATTTCCATTTTCACTAACAACAACTTGAGGCACAGAGATTGCTTAAGAGTATGAGCAAATTAATGAATTACACCAAGTTGAAAGAAGTGGAGATTCACAGTAGAGTAGCTGACACATGGTAATTGTTTGTATGCCTACTCTTGTCCTATGCTAATTGAAAGCTAAATCATGGCAACATAACTCTTTTTCACTGAGAGCTAAGCTGCTTCAGTTGAGTTTTCAGTTACCATGGATTAAGAGCAAGCACATCAATAGTTACACAGAGCAGTTGACAATTCAGTAGATGTCAACCTCTTTTGCCTTGCTGTAGTTTGTTTATTTGTCCTTATCTTGTGTGTCTTTTACAGAGCCCAGTGAGACCCCTGTAGCAGAGTTGAGGCCTGAATACAGTTCTCATAAATCCCTGACTAGTCCCACGCATGTGGCCTTCACTCCTGTCTTGTCTTCAGTGGGAGTTAACAATTCTCAGCACCTTGCAGGAGACATTAGGTCCCTGGAAGCACAGCGCCCTAAATATGTCACATAAGGATAAAAGAAACAGGCTTATAAAAGGTGTATTTCTCTGAAAACAGTTTTCTATGTGAGGAAATTGTTCTCAGCAATGGGAAGCATATTTGATACTTTCTCCATACAGGTGTAATATTTCATGGCAGTAGACTTCCTCCATGCAAATGAGAAGCTCCCATTAGAGTTAGTGAGCATTACAGAGGAAAATTATTCCTCTCTGCATAAAGTCACAGGAATGTAGCTCCTCCTGGGTTGGTCCCCCACCCAGAGGTGAATTTTACCCCTGGAGAATGAAATGATGTATGGTGTGTTATTGAATGAATGAATCTAGGGCTTCTTTACAAGTGTGATTCCAAATCACATACATCTCACTGTCATACTCACAATGAGGAAAATATACCTCAGCCTTGTTCCACTGATGTAGTCCCCCCTGGCTATTATACATTTTTAAAAATAGCTGGGGAAGGCATATTGAGGTCTTGGATCTTGGTTTCAGACTAAGAATACAATGGGAACAAAATTGTCATTACAGTATGGTAACAGTATGGAAGTGAACCGGCAACTCCAATGCTGGTGCCACTGAGAAGGCTTCAGATTCCTTGACTACAGCGTGCACTGCAGGGAGAGAGGACTCCTCGGAAGGGATGGCATCCACCTCACAAGGAAAGGTAAGTCCCTGTTCATGACTAGGATGGATCTTCTGTCTAGGGACCAACATACAAGTAAGTCCAGGAGATAGGGACACTGGGAGAGCTACTTTTGCAGGAGCTGAGGGAATAGCATCAATCGATGCATCTCCAGCAAAACCAAGGAGGTGATTCGTCTGCTCTTCTCAGCACTGGTGAGACCGCAGCTGGAGTACTGCATCCAGTTCTGGGCACCACACTTTAACAAGGACGTAGACAACTTGAGAGAGTCCAAAGAGGAGACAGCTGTATGGTCAGAGTCTTAAAAGGCAAGCCATACGAGAAAAGGCTGAGGGATCTGGGACTCTTCAGCCTGAGGGAAAGAAGGCTGAGAGGGGACCTGGTAGCAGCTTACTGCTACACTAGGGGAGTGCATCAAGGACTTGGTGAGTAACTGTTCACCAGGGCACCCGAGAGGAAAACCAGGAGTAATAGCCACAAACTCTTGGAAGACTGATTCAGGCTCAACATTAGGAAAAACTTCTTCACAGTCAAGGTGTCCAGACTATAGAATAAACTTCCTCCAGAGATGATGCAATCACCTACCCTGGTAATCTTCAAGAGGAGTCTAGACAATCACCTCGCTGGGGTCCCCTGACCCCCAATTATCTTTCCTGCTTGGTGCAGGGGGTTGGACCTGATGATCTTCTGAGGTCCTTTACAGCCTTACAATCTATGAATCTATTAACAGGTTTTACCTGGAAAAGGCTGGACTCCTTCCTGTCAACATGGATTTTTGAATGAAGCTAATTATGAAGGCCTGATCCTGTGATGCCTCAAGCCCATCTTGTGTGATTAGCAGCACCCTCCAAGGCCACTGGCTTCTCTATAAGTTATGGGCATTCAGTACTTTCCAGAATTAGATTGGAGGCCTCCTGTTTCCTATAGCCTCAGGCTTAATCTTCCAAAGAAAGCCAAGGTCCTCTTATCCAACTTGCTCCATTGTGTCAACAATCTTCGCAGTGGCAGCTCTTGAGACACCAGCCATGTAGAAAGGAGAACCTTATATTTTTAACTGAAATGACAAAATGAACTTTGACAGACTGTGAAGTCCATCTTTCATATACCATGTGGTTTGTGTGATCTTTATCTGAGCAGCTGTGTTTGGATGCAGTAGTACAAATTGTCTTCGGGGTCTGATTCATTACTGAAGTAATTAACAAACTCAGATACAGCAATAACCATCCCCTTCCCCAAACCTCCCTTCTCCAAACATCTATAATGAACAGCTAGCCCTGCCTGTTTTCTAACTTTTTATGTGTTGAACTTAATCAAAGGTCCAGATGTGGACAATTTCAGACTTGGAGG